TCTATAACCAACGTATATTCCTCTGACATTATATAGCTTGAGCTTTTTTTAAATTCGCTTAAAAATTAGTCTTATTAATTTCTATAAAAGTTTATATTATTGATTTATAGAGTCTAATCAAATCCTATTTAAATAATTATAAACATAATTATATATATATTAGAATCACCAATTTTATTAACTAATCGATCACACTCCGCTGAGTAATGAAAATCAAATATCAAATTCATCTTTTTATATACAACATTTANTCTCTCTCACTTCGGTTCATTAAAAAATTTAATATAAAAATGGAATACATGGAATATTTAATATCAAACGAAATTGTGAATTTGTTTCTANCTATTAAAAGTTAAGAAATTTCCATATTCATATCATGTTTATAACTTTTAATATCAATTAATGTGACATCTGAGCGTAGTGTGGTATCATCTCCAGTAACAATTTCAATTTCACCGTTACTTTAAATTTTCTCGAATGCAACCTGGCGATACTNTTCTATTAAAGCTGAAAGCGAGAATAATAAAAAATGAAAACGGAATTAAAAAAGTTATTCCAATTTTCTAATATTAAATATCTACCTTTAAGGGATATGAAGGAAAATACTATAAATGAAATAAATAATGTAGAACGAGTTGAAACCNTTGAAGGAAATCACTATCATATGTACAGCGAATGCGTAGCATAATATTATCTTCATATTGAAGCTGAAAATGTCTAAAAGGGTTGTGAGCTCTCAATTATTCCCGAAATATTTTTCTCTTTTTGTATTAGATCTTGCCTAAATGCGTCTATGGCTTCCTGTGTTGTGAAAAACTCNAGCTAAGGATATCTATGGAGCGCCTATCCTAAACCTTAAAAAGAAGAGCAAGGAAAATAATAGTTTTTATAATATGTATGGAAGTTCCGATGATGATGATGATGAACATGATAAAGAAAATAAAATTTAACTTAAAGTAAATCACNATGTTTTATTTACGTCTTCTTTTAGTCCATTTTGATCACTTTGAGGCCATTTCATTAGTTTAAAGTTCAGTTTTATTTTTATAGTATCATTATTAGGTAGTTTTAGAGAAAACTCTGTAATTTCAAATTAAATTTTATTTGTTCTCATCATCAACATCAACAGGCCTTTCCATTCATATACACATACATATTAAATACTTAGCAATCAACTATGTGCACATTGGCTAAAAAAGTATATAGACCTAAATACTTTTCATAGAACAAACGCTAAGAATGATTTTGAAAAGAATTTTTTTTAACTTCTGAACAATGCTGTATATGGAAAAACTATGGAAAATGTAGATAAAAGGAAAGATATTAAAATCGTATGTGAATGGGAAAGTATTGGAAAAAGGTTAGGCGCTCGAGCCCTCATCGCTAAACCTAACTTTCATAGCTATACATCATTTACAGAAAACATGCTTGCTATACAATTGAAAAGATCATGTACCTTATATGATAAGCCTATTTATATTGGTTTTGCTGTATTGGAGTTGTCAAAGTGGAAAATGTATAACTTTCATTATAGTTATATGAAACCTAAGTTTCAAACAAAACTCTGTTTAAACAATATGGATACTGATTCTTTTATATATACTATTCAAACGAATTACTTTTATAAGGATATTCATGATGATATTGATTTAAAATTTGATACATCGGAATATTTAGAAAATAACGTCTTTAATTTTCCTTTAAAATTTAAAAAATGTTTGGGTATGATGAAAGATGAAAATAATGGTAAAATTATGAAAGAATTTATTGGACTCAAGCCTAAAATGTATTCCATTAGTGTTGAGGGAGACAATGATGTGAAGAAACCCACCATGCAAAATATGAGAAATAGGCAACAATCGTCAATGGCAACAAATTGGCGACTCACCGATTTATTGCTGTGGTGACAAATCGGCAACATCACTCCGTTCATGTCAATTTTGAATAAAAAAGTTCTCAAAAATTCCGAAACTTATGAATATGCCGTCAATAGTATTGACCAAAAGCATCTAAATTATGCCCAAGGACAAGATTGAAGAAATAGGAAGCCTCACAGCGAGAAAATTAATTATTTCCGATTGTAAGTTGCNATTTGGTATACAAAAAAATAAATGAAGTATTAANAAGAATAAAATTATTCCAAATATCGCCTNAAGCGATAAGAAAAGGACTCATTCAGGTAATAAGAAAACGACTCNCCCAGGCGNGTTGCCTTCGGCGGACGTTTTAGAGCGACCGGTAATAGGAAATCGATTCGATGGCAATATTACCGGCAATAAATTTGTTTCCGAGGGCGACACGTTTTCTTATTGCCGGCAACACAAATTGTTTGGTGGGAAGCTAAAGGTGTAAAAAAGTCAGCATTAATAAATCTTAATATTATGAATTATAAAGAATGTTTACTTCAAAACAAATTTTTTTACGATAAGATGTATACTTTTAGATCTAAAATACATGAGATTTATACAATAGAATTTAATAAAGTTGTTTTAAGCAATATAGATGATATGCGTTTTGTATTAGATGATAATATTAATACTTTAGGATGGGGACATTATAAAATCAATAACTTAAATTAGTTTAATAAGTATAATATGAATATATTTTAAAAACTGTTTATGTCGTGAAAGGAAACTTTTCCCATTTTGATAATTCTA